ACACTATGAATCTTATATAAATTAAAAGTACTAATCATTTAAATAACACGTCAAGTTATACAAAAAAATAAAATAAAAAAATTATACAAAAATCATTTGTCTTTTTTTATATACCAAAAAATTTTAAGATAAAAATAAAAAATGTATATATAGTAATACGTTGGATTGAATTTTGAAAAGCTAAAATTAAAATTGTTTAAATGTTTAAATGGTAGATAGGATTAGGGTGAACACAAATCTTATGGGAAAAATCTCTAGTGGTAATATCTTCCCAAGATTTTGGCCTCCAAAGTTTAGTCTAAAGTTAAAAGTTACTTTCATAAACAAAAGATCTTAGATAGGAAGATATAGTATTCAATGAGTCCAAAATAGTTAGAATTATTACACTAAAAAATAAATCTTTAACCTAAACTTCCTCTAAGTTGAAACACTTTTCAATTAAAAACTGTAGCCTAACTCTGGCCTCCAATTAAAAACAATAGCAATTGGAGTATTTAATCTTTTATCCAATTACTTCAAAAACTTGCCTAAAATCAAATTATAAATGACTTTGACCTTTGGCTATTATTATCAGGGCAAACCCATTCTCCATCAGTGGGTAGCTAAGCTAACTACAAACAGATCCCCTCACACGCTTGATAGGAAACACTCAAATTAACATATAGATTTGTGGCATTCACAAGGAACTTGAGTTCGAAATTCTGTCGTTTCCATCATCATTACTTCTTGTGGAGCACAAATTCAGTCATCAATTGTTCCTACCATAAATCCATTATATCGTATTTGCAAACTAAATTAGAAAAGTTCCTTAAAAAATATCCTAATTGTTAAGAGCTTTAATTTATACATTAAACATTTTAAATTTAAATTTTAAAATAAAAAAATTATTTTATATTATATAATTTATGAAACATACTTAAAAAGTATGCGGAGTAAAAAAAAAAAAAAAAGCATCACGCAAGGAACTGTAAAAGCAGAAGAATCCATCCATGGAATGATTTGGTTCATCACATCTTTTTCACGTACTGTATTTTTCGAAGTGGTCGGGTCCATTGCACCGTTTTGTGTTCCTCAACAACCAAAGTACACGTACCAAAATCACATCACTTTCTTCATTTGTTTGTCTTTCCAACCAAACACGTTCCCATTTATATATCCCGGAAATTGCAATGTGAAATTGTTACAATAGTTGCATGGTCCCACTGAAAACAGTACTACTATTTAATTACGTAATTATTCTGCAACGGATCCAACTGAATTTCCACATCTAGACTACCTAGCTTACTTCAATTTAATCAAACTGTGTTTCTTTCTTCCAATTAGTTCGGAACTATTGTCTCCACGCATCCTTTAACTTATCTGAAATTTTCTCATTTTTTAATAGACGTCTGAAATTCTAACTTGAATTTCTGATATATAGGCTATGGTAGTAGTTTTCATTGTTTATAATTTAAAATTTGTTGTTTATCTGATCAGTACAAGTGAGCTCGAGCATAACTAATTCCATTCATGTGACATTTTTTAGCATTGACTGTATTGGACAAGAAGATGGATCTACAAAACAATGTAGGAAATTCCCTCATCTGCTAGCTAGGTCAAAGCCTAGGAAAATAAGTTGGACCTAATTGCTTGAATCATTCACTCAGCTTTTTGTTGCCAACAACATAGATTCAATTATTCACCCTTGATTTCCATCCCTATGAATCCAGTTGAATTTTTTTTCTTTTAAATAGTTACAATTCGAGATGAAGAGAAAGATAATATTTGTACAGTATTATTTAATTTGAATCTTAATATCAACTAAGATATTAGGTGTACCAATCAATTGACCTATAAAACTTGATTTCATTTAGTTGAATATTATAAAAAAAATATTTGTGCTTCTTATTTATTATCAACATGTACGTCTCTCTCAAATGCAGGTTCAATTATTATTTGTTATAGATTGCAGGATCCATACTGCTATGTTTTGTAAAGTGTGTGAAATTGAAAGTGTAATTTGTAATTGTGTTTCCAATTATTTTCATGGCATGGGTGCAAGTTACTATTAATGTCATGAGAAAGGATCTGATCTACTTACCTAAGTCTTATAAAAATTGTTGGGTAATGTATACATACACATACAACTTTTGTATAATTTTTATTTATAATTTTCATATATTTTTAAATAAATAAATACATATAATATTATGGTCAATCTTAATAAATTGAAAAGAGTTGATTTTTACTCCCTCTATCGCATAATATACAATATAATCGATTTTTCATATTTTAAAAAGATAAATATTTTTTTTTATTTTAACTTTATTATTATCTCTTCACTTCCACTATCTTTCTTATTATAAAAAAAAGTCTATTTATATTTCTTTTTCATGAGAAAAATAGGTAAAAATAGAAGTTGATCCAAATTCCCAATCTAAAAATAAAATAAAATAAAATCTATTATTTTAAGATGAAAGAAGTAATCAAGATGTAATGTTATAAGAAAAAATTGACTAATAAAAACTGTCTCTTATATTGTGAATTGTAGATTTTTTCACAAAATCATTGCTTACTAAAATTTTTAAGCAGCTTGTTGCAAAAAGAATGTGATGCCATAAAAGAACTATGTTAAAGTGAGGAGGAGCATTCACAGACTGCACTCGATCTTTTTCTCTTTACCATGGTTTTTATCTAGGCCTTTTTTAGTAAAGTTTTTAATAAGATAGTTTAAAAATGTATAATAAAAAAAAGTGAATATCCAAGAAAAGTATTATGAATTTTTCAATTGATGGACATATCACCTTCACCTTCATCTTGGTCTTTATTTTCTTTCATATTGTAACTCATTTCCACTTAGTTCCATTCAAAACTCCACTTTTCCATTCATAACTCAACTTAGGTGTCATTCATAACTCCACTTAGATACTATTAATTCCTCCACTAAACTGCTATTCATACCTCCACTTAGTCATATTCAATGGCCACTATAACCCTCATATTTTCTTTAACTTAGATATAAGCCTATAAATTTATATAGTTTTGTACATAGTAAAATAAAAAATTCTCACTACAAAAACTTTGTTTTCTTACTAATTTTTCCTTTTGTTCTATAACACCTCAATAATTTTCCCTGAATTTTTATAGTTCTTGAATCTCCCACAACACTTGAAAACCTCCGCAGGGACCTACAAAATACGCATCATTATCAACCCTCCTAATGACATACGCATCGTTAGGAGGGACAAAATTTGTATGGTGGCGGTGAGTAAGACAACACCTGAACAAAAGAAAGGAGTTCTTAAATAAAGTTGGACAAACCTGCCCAACAACATGACAATGAAAACTAAAAAAAGATAATTAACCAAAGAAGAGAGGTGCATGGTGGGAAGGGGAGAATCAGTCTCTACGAAGCTAAGGTTTTCTAGAAAGGAGAATTCCTTCTTTAAATAGTAGAGATCTAGCTTTCTAAAACATGAACTGATTTACGTGAAATTTAAGTTACAAAGTCCAGGGCACAAAGTCTAACAATTACTATATATATCCTATCCCCAAGTTGCCTTGGTTGGGGAAAAAAAATGTAAACAGAAAATTGAGAATGGTATAACTAAATTTCAAGATGACGCTTCACAATCTCATTCAACAATAGTTATGATGTGCTCTGAATCTCAAATTTTAAAATGTACGTATAAACTCGTTTCTATTGTAAGTGGATGGTGTTGATTTTAGAGTCTTGTAAATTGTTGACTCAAATAAAATGATTTAGATATTTTAGATTTTAAACAATATCAATTATCAATAATTATCTACATCTAAATAGATAATCCTGATTAACACACCTCTAAACTTTTGTCAGCTAAGATCATTTGATGTGGAGGAAGGCCCTATAGAGCAACTTATTAAATTATTGGCATAAGGTGCTTCCTTACTTGTGTAATTGGGGTTTTGAACTCTCATTTCTCTTTTTCCTCACAAGGGTTCAATTAGCCTCTCCTATTAGAAAAAATCATTTCATGTAAAAATTTTAGTAAAAAAAAAGAAAATATTTCCTCCATCTTAGAATAATATTGTAGATGTTTTTTAATTTTATCTTCATATTAAAGATTTAGACAATTTATGTTTTTACCTTTATTACTCTTAAATAAAGATAAAGACAAAGAGATATTTTTTATAACAAGATAGATAATTAAAATTAAAGGATAATGATGAGGTTAAATAGGAAAAAAAATTTTTCTTAATTGTCCATTTTTCCTTTTTAAAATATCATTTAATGTGCTTATTTCTATTTTATCATTATCTTTAAAAAATAGTTACAATATATATTAAATAAGAATGCTTATATAAGTAGTGATTAAATAAAATTAAATATGAAATTTTACCAATTAATTATTACATTCCTATTTTATTTTATTTTTAAAATAGACTTACTAAGCTTGTACAAATGGAGTAATAGGTGGAACCCTCAAATGCACCCCTCAAATAAGAAGTCATAGACAAATTACTCTTCCAAATTATCAATTAAGATATATCACTTATTATTTAACAGATGACTCATTATATATTAGAAATTCATTTGTCATCTAAGTATTTTTTAATAGAATACTAATGTGTGATGATATTATATATTAAATAATAAATAATTTATCTTGATTACTAATTTTAAAGAGTAATTTGTCTTTATAGTTTTCTAAGGGATGGATTTATCCATTCCCTCCAATTTGAGGGAGGACTTGGGGTTTTGAACTTTTGATGGAGGAATAAAGAAAAAATTTTTGCAGGCCGACCTCTGAGAAAAAAATCACAAAAATTTCTGTAAAATTATTTAAATAATCTGAATAAATCACTCATGTGTATTTATTCATTAATTCTATTAAGTTTTTCAATAGATATTTCTTTGCAGGTCGACCTGAAAATCTACATTCCAAATTAAGATTTTCCTTAATGAGTCGCTCATATTTGGTTATTCATTAACCATTACATTCCTTGCCAAACTCACAGTCCTCTCCTTCCCCTATATTTCTCTCGGCTAAAACCCCGACAATGGCATCTCCTTCTGTAGAAACCAACCCAAACCCCTATCAGAACTCTTCTACCCAAGACGACAATGTCGCTCAAGACCCTTTTCACGAGCTCACCTCCTTGCATTGCTCTTCCCTTCAACCCAGCCCTTAGAAACCGTAGCTTTTCTCCTCCAATCGCTTCTCGCCACATCATCGTCGATCGTCCCTTTCCGCATAATTCGCTCCGCCTCCACATATCTCGAAACTCTAATTTCAAAAGCCATCAGTCATTCTCCCCCCTCACTCTCGGAGCATACAAGAATGATTCAACATCTACCCCCGCGGAGAATAAGAATTCTTACGAGTCCAATTTAGACTCTTTCCTTTTAGCTTCTGAATTGATAATCATTTTTTCATCGGCTGTTATCTCGATTACTTTTGCGGCGAATTATGCCGTTTCCCGGTGGAAAAGTGCCTTCCTGGGGGACTTGTGGAGGAGGGTTATGGTTGTTGGTGTTGTAGGATTGGTCGGTCAGGTTATCATTGGGGCGTGGATTAGGAGGCGACAATGGAGGAGGATTTATGTAGAATCCTTAAGGGGTAATGAGGAGAGCTTGAATTTGGTTGAGAGGATCGAGAAGTTGGAGGAGGATTTGAAGAGTTCGGGGAAGATTATCCTGGCCTTATCCAAACAGCTCGAGGAGTTGGGAATTAGATTTCGGGAAACCCGCAAGACTTTGACAGGACCCATTTCTGAGGTAACATGGCCAATTTGTTTTACGTCTTTGTCTCTTCTGTTTACTTTGTTGAGCT